GATATTAATAAGGAACCAGCAGATCAAGTAGCTTTTGGAATAAAACACCAATTTTTTTAAAATTAAACACTATCTAAAGATTTGCATCGAAGCGTTTATTTTTGATAGTGATTTTAATCACTGTCAGATATCATTTACTTGATCCAACTATGCCACGTCACCACTGTGCCGCGACCCCCTGTGCTGGGTTTTTAAATTATGATAATGCATTTATATATTTGACAGTTGGTAACAAAGATCTTGATATACTGACTTACTTTCAAACAGCTTAATTCTTTATCTATTTAAGATAATTCTTTCTCACTATGAATCGATGGATGTATGATGGAAATTTGTACAAATGTCATTGTAGTTTAAATGTAAATATTCTGGTTAAACTTAATAGTTATTTAGAATCGAGTAATACGCAATTTGTCGTGTGTCGTAAAGATTATACTGATCCAACACGTTGTCGATACTTTAAATACATGGCTGAAGATTATCACAACTGTAATTGTCATACCCAAACATCATTATGCATTACTAGTTCAGAAAGTAATAAGGACAAACCGTATTACTGCTGTGCAAAACCGCGCACGAACCCACAAAGGTGCAATTATTTTAAATGGTATCAAGATGAATACTAAAATTTCAATATCTAATATAATAGTATTTTATTTGTTTTCAACAAGTGTTAATTGGTATACATTATATACTGCAAAAACTTATATTTTATTGAATAAACAATTCTAAGTAACACCACATCGTGGTCTTTTTAGCTTCGATTCGAAGCTGAGAAGGTATTAATTTTACTATGATGTGTTTTTTTTTTATGTCTGTTGCCACTTTTTCTCAGCTCTCACTAGATCGATTTCTTTCAAAAATACGTTAAAAGATCACAAATCGTATCTAGTTGGAGACAATACCCTTAAAAATTGAAAAAAATTCCCTCGTTCCCCGAAAATGGGGGAAATATCCAAAAAAATTACTAATTTAAAAATCGGTAAATTTTGTCATTTTTTTCACTTTTTTTTCTTAAAACTTCTATAACTTTATCAAAAATCAACAAATCAACATACATTTTTTTTTTTTATACTAAAACCTTAGATATTTTTCTTTCATTTGATATCGTTTTTTTGATTATCTATTACTTAACCTGCTCATTTGGGGGGATTTGAAATAGCAACTTTTTTACAAAAATTAACTTTTTCAACTTAATTTTTGAAAATGTTCCGGAAATACTGCGTCCTTAAAAAAAATATCAAATTAAAGCTTATTTTATGTACTATCAAATGAAAAAAAAAATTTGTCCCGATACTTTATGTTCTACATTTAAACGGCTGCCGTAGTTAAAAAAAACACTATTTTTTGTTAAAATTTTCGATTTAACTTAAAAATGCTATAAGTTTTTGAAAAATGTATATATCAGCACAAATTTTTTTTTTTTTAATTAAACACTATCTACAGATTTGCATCGAAGTGTTTTTTATGATAGTGATTTTAATCACTGTCAGATATAATCTATACTGGACCCAACTATGCCACGACTCTACTGTGCCGTCACGCCACTGTTCTGGGTTTTTTTTTTGCTCAACTTAAATTAATTGAGTTTCTTGTTATTACCTAATCACTTACATAAAATTTTATGAAAAACCCATTGTTATTTCGTATTGCGAAGTTTTAAAAAAAAAAGTTTTTGGAAAATCCTTATTTTTAAAGTTAATTTTCGTTTTAGGATTTTAGAATGAGGATATTATGTAACAGTTACGTCATTATAGTTTCACAATATTATCATGAGAAAAAATTGTAAAAATTACCAAAAAAAAACAATTTTTGATATATTTTTAGTTTTTAACATTTCAACTATAAAAAGCTATAACTTTTGAACCAAATTTTTCCGACAATTTTTTCAAACACTTTTGAAAAAAGCATTGAAAAACATACGTTTTAAAAAAAAAATTTGAAAAAACTCGATGGGGTGGTAAAATGCATTTGTTTCAAAGTAACTTTCGATTGATTTTTAATTACCAATGATTCTCACATTCATCCTACACATTCATTCCATGTAGTTTATAAGTCTTAATGGTTAGTTATAAAAATCAAAAAGTTTTGTTTTTGTACTTTAGATACAGATTTAGATATGAATCATAAAATCCACATAAATCTTGTTATTAGGACACGCAAATAATAACATATAGGCATTTCATACCACCTATAATAATTTTAAAAGACGACATCTTACAGCAGATATAAAAACAGCTACACAAATAATAAATACTTATTACAAGCGTAGTAATTATAACTTAAGTCGAATTTTGTCTGTATAACGGAGATAACCGCAAATCAGTTTAAAATAGTCAGTTGAAAAATTATTATCATACATCATACGTTATAATGCATTGCTAAGTCTATGAACAAAACTGCCGCATTTAACGCGTGTCTTAGTAGCATTTCTGTTTCCAGGCAATCCATTTTCATTATGAGGGTTCATTAAGAGGACAAGCTATTGGCAGAAAGCCGGCGGTTTGTTTTCAATCCCATCGCCGTCATGTCGGGCTCGTATGTTTTATGCAAACTACTCGCTACCGGTTGACACAAACTATATTATCATTCATAACTACCCTTCCTCCGTCCAATAGGTATTATCGTTATTACTCATTGAGTCGTATGTTTAACAGCTCTTATGAAAATAATATGTCAAATTTTTTATTAGTAATATACCCCCACAAAATAATTCGTTTACTGAGATACGCATAAAAATTACCGTCGCATTCATAAATTTATCCTGCATTCGTGCATTAAAGTCACGATAATAAATATAGTTTTAAAAAAACTGAAAAACACGCTTTTAAAGCATATCGAACTAAAATAGTATTATTGTGAAAAAAAGCGTCGGACGCTTATATACGAAAAATATGGCACAAGTCCCCACGCTTTTTTTTCCAATAATTCTAATATTTTTCATTCATTATTGTTTTAAGCTTATTTTTAACTTTTTAGTTCGATATGCTTTAAAAGCGTGTTTTTCAGTTTTTTTAAACTATATTTATTTTTCACTTTTTAGTTTTTTATGATATCGCTGTTACAGTCACGGAGTGTTTATTGTCAATTATCACTAGCAATGGATATAATATCTGTATTGCCAGTTAGTGTGTTTATAAACTCACAACAATGTGTCTTGTTATCATTGATAATAAAGGCTATATGCTTGCTAATATCTTCCTAAAAAACCAATTAGCTACCTGTATTTGTAATGCCTTATGTATTATTCATGTATATTAACTCAAAAAATTTGAATCTTTAAATGTTTAGTTCTAATAATAAACAATAAAAATTTGTTTATATATATATATATAATATTGATGATACGCCCGAATATAGGGCTGGATTTAGGACTTGGCTAACTGGACTATAGCGTAGGGGCGCCACAACTTGAAGGGGGGGCGCTGCGGTCAGGAAAATTCTTGATTTTTTTTTAGATATAATTCCTTTCTGCGAATTTAATTTTCCATCTACTTGAATTAATGTAGTTATTTTGGTAAATTAGTTGCTCGCTGTTGTAAAAGTATAAAAATAGTAAAAGAATATAATCTACAATATATATTTATATATATATATATAATGTGATTGGGTAGGGTAGCTACGGCACGACGGTTGGGTTTTATTAATAATGTATTATTTAAAATAATAATCGGCGACGGCGGTCGTATAAATTGTGTCGAGCAACCAAATCAAGGAAACGCCAAATATTTTATTAATTAATGTTTCTTAATTTTTATAACGGTGCAAATTTTATTTGTTTACATTAATAAGTTGACAATTGTATTTACTAAATTAACCATTTATTAACAGAATAAAAATATAATTATTATTTTTTATTATTATTCATTAATTATAATTTATGCACGATTGATTTTTTTATCATCATAATTTAAACTACAAAAATTTCAATAGATAATTATTTTACGTTGACTTTTAAATACTTTTAAAGTAATAATACATTATACATTAGGAATTACAAACTTTTAAGTAAATTGGGAGGAGGTGATCAGCTCAGCTCCCATTTTATATGTCTTCTAAGAAGTGGCCGTTTGTTGCTTATTAGCCTAGGGGCGCTTTTTGGGTAAATCCGGCCTTGCTCGCATGTACGGGTACGAAAACTAAAAGTTATACAGGAAAATAGTGTTCTCGGTGAGTGTTGAGTGGGGTGGGGTGAATGCGTTACGACCGTCTAGTCTCAAGGCCATAGACAAGTGAAAAGTTACACACAACTCACATACATATGAAATTAATATAAGCGTGTTAAGAAGGTTTCCGTCAACGGATGAATTTTCTCTAATATAAAAATAGTAATGAAAGAATGAATAGCTTTTTACGTACTTAAATGTTGTTAATTATATTCTCGTTAAAATATTTTTGGTATACCTACGTACAAGAAGTCTATGGCTGTAAACAAGTTCCACACACGATTTTATTATTCCTTTGAGGGATGCATACAAGATGTAGGTAAGAGGTATACAAGATTATTATAATGGTTTGTTATATAGACTTTAGTAACGCAAAAGGAACTGAAAATTATGATACATAAATAACTATTTGGCTTTGTTTTAGTCTTCATTATTCTACTCTTAAATGCGAATTAAATCGTGTAAATGATTTTCATATATATCATACTTTAAATAATGGAATAAAATTTCCTAATAAATTATGTTTTCTGAAAATAATAATGAAAACAAAATTTCTTAACAACTTTTTTTGAAATTTTAGTAACTCAATCATTTTGATTCTAGAATCCTTAATACATTGAATGAAGTATAATTTGAATTAGTTTTAAATGTATTGATGATCTATTGCTATGCGAAATACCACTAAATTTTTACCGAAAATTTTTGGTTTCAACGTCTAGAAATCGAGATTGTGGATAGTTTTTTTTCATTATTCAAATGTTTATAGCAATTGTAATTTTTTGAGAAATTTATATTTATTATGGGGATTATTTTTAAATTATGCTGCTGATAGCATCAACAAGAGACGTTTTGTTCTTTTGATTTATTTCCAAGCAAAATCTGTCGAGTAGAAGTGGAATAATAGTAACACAAGAAATATAAAACATAGCAGAGTAAAACTAAGAGTTTCTCAACTAAGAATTGAAGCTAAAATAAACGTGCTTCTGCAGTGTAATTAATTAAAAACACTACCTTAGATATTTTTCGTTATATTGAAACAGTAATTACACTTTCAGTCTACATGTGTATTAAACATAATTATTTTTGTAATTAATATAGTTCATATGCCTTTTAAAAATATAGTTTAAATTGGATATTTATTTTTCAGTTGACGAAAAGAAAAGGCAGCAGATATTATTTTTAGTCATTTGTTTAATTTTTTTAGGGGTTGATTCAATTTAAATTAGTATAAAATAACTCAGCACAGTGGGAATGTGGCATAGTTGGGTCAAGTATAATGATATCTGACAGTAATTAAAATCACTATAATGAAAAACGCTTCAATGCAAATCTGTAGATAGTATTTAATTAAAAAAAAAAGATGGATTATTCTACAAGCTATATGATCCCTTATTTCCTTATTTATATCCTGATTACAAGTGTAATATATGAATAAATAAATATATATATATTTATAATATTTAAAAGGAAGTGGTGTTATTTAAAAAAAAAAGTAAGTCAAATGAACAAGGATATAAATATTATTTCTCATAAAAAAATTGTATTGATCCATACATTTTTCAATAAGTTATAATATAAAGTATAAAATATACTTTAGTTATAAAATATAAAGTTAAAATTGTAAAAATAAAATCAAGAATTTTCACACATTCGGTAGCCATTTTCACCACAAAGACAAGTCCAGAAGTAAACTTTTCTTCATATTAAAGTATATTACATTATCTTTAATTTAAGATATATGTAAAAGTGTGAGACTTTCCGAAACATTTTCAAAAGTTAAGGGTAAAAATACATTTTTGTGAAAAAGTCGTCATTTTAAATCCCACCTGTTGGCAGGTAAAGGGTTAAATTTATAAAAAAAATATACAAAGTGATAAGTAAAGACAGCATGCATCTATAAAAAAAAATTATTTTGATATGTTCATTTTTGAAAAACTTATGGCATTTTTTAGTAAAAAAAAATTGAAAAATTTTCGAAAATTAGCAATTAGAAAATTTGTAATTTTTTTGAAGGTTTCTGCCATTTACGGGGAACTAGGAAAATTTTTTCAATTTTTAAAGGTAATGCCTTCGACTAGATACGATTTGTGATCTTTTGACGTATCGTTGAAAGAAATCTGTTTGGTGAGAGCTAAGAAAAAGTAGTAACAGACACAAAAAAAAACACATCATAGTAAAATTAATAACTTCTCAGGTTCGCATCGAAGCTAAAATGTTAGTAATGTATAACCTAATTACTCCAAAATCGAGAAATTTTAAAACCAATCTGTTTTAAATTTTATTTATTAATTGTAATGATATTAACTGTGTTATAATTTTTTAGTATACTACATTGTAGTAGTTAGTTAATCAACATTTAATTCTTTGATAAGTTTAACCTGAGTAAAACGTAAACTACAAATAATTAGTTAAAAATAAAATGTTTTATTTACATACAAAAGTATAAATTAAAACAGTTATTAGAAAATGACATAATAAATTGTTATAATTATTATTTTATAAATGTTTATTTCATTTTTATTCTTCGTTTTATTTTAAAATATAAATAAATATAAATGCATGTACAAATTACGGATCGTATGTCCAATTTATACCACTGAAGCCATAGCTCTTCTCAAAGTAATTCAACAAATAACTTATAAGGAACACAAATTACATTATAATATTCGACTTATTCAGTAACATCAACATTCAATTTATTCACCAATAGAGCATCTAAAGTTTTCTTTTGTATTTATAGTACTATCTAATAAAATTTAATATTTTATATTAATTGTATTATTATAAGTACCATTTCCACTTTTTTTTTTTTTAAGTTTCAATGATTTCCTAAATTTATTAATGTAGACGATGCTTGTTTTAAATTCTCAAATTGTTTAGGTACTATCTATTCATTAAGTTTATTGAATTATCTACAGAATTAGGATATTTGTAATCAAATATAAATGTTATATACCCTATTAGATATGAAAGGCTCTACTGCTCAAATAAAACAAGCGGATTGTATTCATTATCATGCAAATCAATTGATAGCTAGACTTTTTTTACTTTAATTTAATTATAGGTATCACCTACATTAATAATTATGAATCACTAGATTCAGTAGTTTTTCAAATAGGTTTAGTGTATATCATGACTATGAAAAGACAACATAATTATTAGTTTCCTGGAGGATTTTGTGGCTGAAGCTATTGATTTATATGAAAAAGGTATTACTCTATAGAATAAGGTTTTTCTTATTAATTTTACTGTGGAATTGTTGAACTCTGTTTTTTTATGACAAACTACACGGATATGATTAAATGGATGCATAAGTAAAAATATTGTTTAAATACTTTAAATGCGCTAGGAGTTCATCGATTGTATAAGCTTCTCGATTTCTGTTTTTATCAAAAAGTCGATACATTATCATATATGCGCTTGATTTTCCGCTAAAAGTACTTTCAATTTTATGTGGTGGTATCTGTGTAATAGTTATAGTCTTATAATTGTGCTATTTTTTTGGAGGTTATCCCATTTACGGAGAACGAGGGATATTTTTTCAATTTTTGAGGGTAATGTCTTCAACTAGATACGATTTGTAATCTTTTGACGTATCGTTGAAAAAAATCGGTTCGATGAGAGCTGAGAAAAAGTGGCAACTTTCTATAAAAAAAAATTTGTTATAAAATACGTTATCAAAGTATAAATTAAATACTACAAAATCAAAAAAATATTTTAAAACTAATTGATTTTATATTTTGTTTATTATTTTTTATGATATTAATAGTGGTTGTAATAAATCTGTATTTTATAACATGCTCAATGTAGTAGCTTTTTAATCAAGATTTAATTCTTTGATAAATTTATCCTAAGTAAAATTAAACTACATTTAATTAGTTGAATATAAATGTTTTATTGAAATACAAAAGTACAAATAATAAAAGTTTTTAAATAATGACATAGTAAATTGTATTGTAGTTTTAATTAACATTTTATAAATATTTCTTATTTTTTATTCTTCGTTTTATTTTAGAACATAAATGCAAATATTTCGTATAGCATGCCTAATTTATACCACTGAAGTCATAGCTCTTCTCAAGGAAATTCAACATATAACTAATAACTCAGTTGAACTCTGTTTTTTTGTGACAAATTACACGGTTATAATTAAATGGATACATAAATAAAAATATTGTTTAAATACTTCAAATGCGCTGGGAGTTCATCGATTGTGTAAGCTTCTCGATTTCTGTTTCTATCAAAAAGTCGATACATTATCATATATGCGCTTGATTTTCCGCTAAAAGTACTTTCAATTTTATGTGGTGGTATCTGTGTAATAGTTATAGTCTTATAATTGTGCTATTTTCCAAAAAATGTAAATACTTACGAGAGTAATAATATCATCATTACATTCAAACCACTGTCCCGACTTGAAATCTTTTATATAAGAAAAATAGTGCCCAAAGGTGGCTTCACCTTTATGAATGATCACTCCGTATAATTCAAATATGGAATTATAGCCATCCACATCCATTGAAATGAAAAATGGAAAAGATACTCTGACAAAAAAATTTCATACAAAAATTCATAACAATGCTTTTTTTACGTTTACATAAACATTACGTACTTGTCATTTATTTTTTCAGGCTTTAGACTATTTATGTTATAATTAATCCTACCTAGATGAAAACATAAAATATATGGGAGCTCTTTAAATTGTTGCCCCTTTAGAAATTTGCTTTTTTTTCCACAAATGTCACAAAAATGTTCGTCTAATATTTCAGGTCTTAAATATTGTTCTATTGCATATTCCTATTAGACAAGTATATTAATATAAAAAACAAATTTATTAATTTAACTTTAATTTTGCTTTTTCTACATTAAACATATAAATATAATACGGTTCATATATATTTACCAGCGAGTCATATGATGTCTTTCCATCAATAGAGCGAATAGGCAGAGAAATATCAAAAAATGTGGAATACTGTTCTTTACTTATATTGCACATAGTACAAGTAAGGTATTCGACCTGAATGCCTGAAACATGTTAATGAATAGTAAACACGATGAACTAATAAAATACTAATCAAGTCTAAAAAAACAGTCATGTTCATTTTTATAGTAAATACATTATACTTGCCACTGAATAAATGACTAATCATGTTAGCGGACGATGAAAGTTGCAACTTCTCGTCCAAGATGCCCAAAAAGTATCGACCAAACTCTTGGACGTCTTGCTGGATATCTGTGTCCTCCTGAGTCCAATCAAGACTTTTTGTTAAGCCATTAGTCTTGACCGCCGATGTGTCAGGTCCAAGTAGTTCTACAAAAAGCCTTTGAAGTTGATAAGCTACGTTAAACCAATTGTCGTCACCGGAATCATTAGGGAATGTCAGTTCCAACAACTCGTTACGAAACTCCGGCGTATGGAACATGACTTGGATGAAAGAATTTAAATAACAAGTTGCCCCTTGGTTTTTAATACCACGGCACACTGAAAAATAATTTATAAAGTATTGGCTATAATTGAACATTTTTCTTTACCAAATACATATTTTAAAAGTTAAACTGTTATTACCTGGCGAAACATTTTTAGCTTCAGTTTTTGGTGGTAGACTAAACAGTGGTTTCTTTGGTTCTTGGTTCTTTTGCGGAGGAGTTTCCACAACTTTTTCTACACTTTGGGTAGATTTTAAAGTGTTGAATACCGTAGACCAAGAATATATCTAATTTTATTATTATAATTAACTTTATTAGAAAAAATTCAAAATGTGGATTAATAAGTTTAAAAATTATTGATGTTAAAGTCTTATATTGGTGATTGCGTTATTTAACTCTCTTTAGGGAAACGCAATTATGTTATTATCAAAATACAGCTATTCCATTGATTATTCAACTTTAAACTGGTAATGTAATTATAATAATATTAAAAACCATAATATACGTGCTTTAAGCTCATCAAGATTTGATGGAATCGTCAAATTTACTATCTCTTCTTTTATCGTTTTCTTAATTTCGTGTTTATTATTACTATTAACTTTAGGGCTTTTTTCGTGGTCTGATTGTTTTGCATCAGGTTTGATGCAGATACAACAGAAACACTTTTTATATGTTTGCTGTAATTGATTTTTGCTAAATGTCCATACACTGCTCTTTTTATTAGTTGCTAAAGTTCGTTAAAGAATTAAGCTACAAACTTTTAGTTTTAATTTTAATTACTTACATTTTTTCGAAGATAATTTTTTTACACGAGTCCATGATCCTTTTAGTAACTCGAATAATGCTTTACTTTTATTTAATGTATTGTGAACAATTTTTAAATCCATTATACTTTTAATAAAGACAAGAACTAATCTTTTATTAAATAGATTTCCTTAGAAAAATTTTTATTTTTTTTTATAAAAAATGGACTAAATTAAAAAAATAAATTTTTTTATACTTACTATGATTATACTTAGGGGTAAAAATATTTTCGTAAGAATACAATTTGTATTATAAGTTTTATAAGAACGCACAATATAGTAAAACGAAATAATTAAGCTTTACGAAATTGGACTGTTAATGTAATTATTTGTACAAAATTATTTCATTTATATACTCGACTATCACCTAGGATTTCAATTTTTTATATAACCAGTACATTTTTTTTAAACTAAGTGAGAATGATTTATGTAATAAACTTCAAAAAATATATTATTATTATATTATAATAAATGTATACTAATTACGAATAATTTTTTAGTTTTGACCCTTTCGTTTAATATTTGTATAGAAGTTTCGAAATTAACTTATTGCACTGAAACTTTTATTTTACATTTTACATTTGACATTTCTATATCATTTTAGCAATGAAAATTTCTCCATTTACTTAATTGAACTTTTTATAGCTTATAATGTAAGCTGAAAAAGTATTCATTTTACTATGCGTTTATTTATTTATTTGTTTGCATCAATTAATTCTTAATCTGAATTCTTAGTCTTAATTCTCACTGGATCGATTATATAGAACGATAGCTAAAAGATATCGGGTTAAAGACATTACCTTCAAAAATTTAGAAAATTTCCTGCATTTTCCATAAATGGAGAGATCCACTAAAAATATTACGACATTTAAAATCAGTAAATTTTGACATTTCTATATCATTTTAGCTTCGAAGCTGAAAAGATACTAATTTTACTATTTCTTTTTTTTTTTTTGTGCCTGATACCATTTATTTTCGATACTCACTGAACGGATTTTTTTCAACAATATGTCAAAAGATCACAAATCGTACCTATTTGAAAACATTTATATATATTTTAAATTAAAGCTAATGTAATGTACTTTATTATGGAAAAAAATAATTTTCGATTTTATTTTATACATTTTTAACTTTATAATTCTATAACTTTTTGAAATGTGTATGAATCAACATAATTTTTTTATGAGAAATAATATTTTTTAATAATCTCTTTTTCATTCGACATACTTTATCTTAATAAGGATATTAATAACGAACTAGCACTTACATAGTACTTACATTAAATTTTACAAAGATGCAGGCTTCATATGAATGAAATAAACTACTATATATAATAGTGTAACGTGTAGTTCTTATTATAATAATGATACAACTAATAAAAAACAATAAAAAAAAAAACCAAAACAACTCAATGCATTTATAATTATGATATAAATAATGTATTTTAACATAAAACTTGAACAATGTTTTTACTAAATAATACAGAAAAACAACACTTAAATAACAAATCAACAACTTAACCTAAACTGTATCATTTTTCATTACATTTTGAATAACGTTTTTATTATTAGTTATTATTTAAAATAGCGACCGAACAACACAGGCCACTGATAAGGCGTCCTAACAGCTGATGGCACACAAGCACCATCACATTCATACCGCAAAACACTTTATTGTAGTGCTCATGCTTGGTGCGAACATGCACCCTCCTTTGAAAGGCTCTACGACCTTTCAAACTAAAACACATAAAATAACAAAGTATGACTAATAAACTTATCTAAAGCTCCATAAAACGTCAACATTTGAACATTTAAATTAGTATTAAACAATTAAAATTTATATAATAATGAACTCATAACACCTTTCAGTTTCTAATAACAAATATTGAAAAAGTTGGATAGCTCATATAAATTTCTAAATTTCAATTACATATTTAGGAACTTAAGTACTTTATAAACATAGTATTAAAAAAACCATAAAGAATAATAATGAATTAAATAAATTAGATTTTACATCAAAAAAACATAAAAATATAATGAATACATATTGCTTACATTACCTATGAATAATATTAATAAACCGAATACATAGAATATTGAAAATACTAACTAATTAATTACTGGAACACATTAAAAATAAAATTAATTTTTTTTTTTTTTTACAAATTCATTAAATATACTATATATATTAGGCAATTTTAGGCAATTAAATAATGGTAAAACTATATTATTGGAACAAAAACAAAAACTTGTTGTGGGTCAGGTGGTAATTTTATAATAATAAATGATTACTCCGTCAAATAAATATTATCAATGTATATTTTATAGACTATATATATATATATATAAATATAATGCCAATAATAACAATGTCGTGGCAACTTGTTCCATGAGGACGTTGAAAGATAATCTTATATTGGTGCATCACCTGACCGGTCACTCGGCGTCGCGTGACCTATCGGACGAGGAGAGGTAGCTGTGTCGCAGTCGCCATCCAGCGGTAAAGCCGGAAGTGCAATGCGACCGCGTCAAACTTAAAATAACCAAAAATTGATTCACGTAAAAATAAAAAAATATTATTAAACGAGCAAAACAGAACAATATATTAGGTCTTTTAAATTTCTGTATTACATCCATCCAGTATACAAAAAAAAGTTGTTATAATGATTTAAAAAAGCTTTGTTAATTGGTGTATTCCTCGCAAGGTATCAACAAGAATTTTATCAATGAGAAAAAAAGAATAACAGATGAAAGAGACCAGCAATTAGATACTGCAGACTTTAATTCATTTAGACATATAATTTTGTATATTATTACAAAAAATGTTTTTGAAAAGTTATCTACCTAATTATTTTTGATAATTACAATATAGTTTTTTATTGTTATTCAAATATTTTAAACCAGTGACAGTAATAATTTTTTTTTTAATTTATGGACTTTACTATTATAAATAGTATTTTTTTTATTATAGGTATTTTGTAATTGTATTATTATGATATTATAATTAATTATCTTATTTGGTAAGAGGAACAATGAAATAATAACTAAATAATAATAAACGAATTAAGTTATATATATATATATATATATATATATATATATGATTCCTCTCTCCTCGTAACATGACCAAACCATCTAAGTCTATATTCTCTCATCTTATCCACGATTGACGCTACACATATACTCCCTCTTATTTACTCGTTCCTTATCCTATCTGCTTTAGTCACTCCACTCATCTATCTAAGCATTCTCATCTCTGCTCTACTTTTTTAAGTCCCTACACCTTTGACATTACAAGCGTTGGGTAGACCTGTACACAAGAATGGTGAAACAGCTATCGCACAAGTTCTCCGGCTGGTATCAAACTCTTTATTCCTTTGGCCTTCTCCGTTTTTAATTACTTTCTGTTGTCCCTGCGTACATCCATGATGGGACAATCCACCTAAGTTTTGTTCAAGATTCCTCATACTTTTATGACAATTTTTACGCCGGCTGTCGACCTGACGCAACGTCATTCGTCAATCTACAGTTATACAAACTTATAAAAACTATAAATATTAGTGGTAAATATTTAAATTATCTTAATTTTATTACATTAATAATACTATATTTGGTAGCTCGCTAAAAATTCGAAAACAAAATAGTACTGCTGTTTGAATTATATAAAAATCATACACGTAATAAATTAAATAAAAAATATTAAATTTATGATACCTGGTAAAAAATTGCAGAGAAATTTTTAAAAAGTGATAATGTTTTACGAGTAAATATTATAAAAACGTTAGATAATTTTAATTTAGCAAATTTACAATTGATGTATCTAAAATTGTATAAGTATTATATAGTTCACTGTATTAAATTACTCAATGACGTTGTTGTTTCTTAAGTTAATTTTAAATAAAATCTATTCAGTAGAACGAAGTTTGAGTAATTATGTTTAAAAACATTTTGTTGTGTACATATTTATTAGCGTCAATACTTACAATCAAAGTTTACGGTATGAAAAATATGGTGGAAGGTGAGATAATATTATTTTATATTTAATTTAAAAATGATGATCTTTAAAAAATATATGTATGTTAACAATATATAATATTATAATTTTTATTTATTAATATAATTTAATATGTTATCTATAATAAATAGCGAAACATCAAAAGTAATACTTGAACGAATTTCATGGTTTAATCTATTCAATATTATACGTATATAAGTTTACTAATAAAAAGGTAGCAAATTGGTTTTTTATGACGACGATTTTACAGTAACAGAGTGTCTATTGTCAATTATGACTATTAATAGATATATTTTTAGATGTTGTATTTATATTCTCACAACAATGTACCTCAGTTTCATCGATAATAAATGTTGTGTAATTGTAAATATCGACATCATCAAAAACCAGCTATTTATAATCCTCATGTACTATACATGTATATTAACTAAAAAATTTGAAACTTTAAAATTTTATATCTAATATCCAAATAAAATTATATCAAAAATTCAAATACCATTTAGAATAAACATAGCATAAGGGATAAATTTAAAAATAATTAAATAGCTAATAATTCAAAAATAATATGTAATTAAAGGTAACCAAAAATTAAAAATTTTATAATTAAATTATTACATTCGTATATTTTGAGACGTACTTTAGGAGACTACAAAGTAGTATCTTTATTATTTTTAAATATAAATTAGTGCTGTATTTCAAGTTAGAATAGTAATAGGCAACTATTTAGATTTTTAGTACTTATCGTTTTGTTTTTCTAAAAAACGTTGAATTGTTAGTTAATGATAAAATATTTTTCTTTATTTTAATAAAATTGAAGTGTATAATATACACTGTATACTATTGAAGCACAATAGTATGACTATAAGTATATTGCCTGTGTAGGTTTGTTTTAAAATAATTAATAATCCTGAATCATCCGCTGTAAAAGATATAGTCGCTAACAATAAAGAATAAAGGAGTGGTAACCAGGGTTATTAAAAAAAAACTGTTAAAAACATGAGTAAATAGAATAAAACCAATTTGAATTTTTATATTTGTGGCGTTTTAAACACAAATTACATTAAATTTGTAACATTTTAGAAATAATTTATTAATCAATGGCGGCGAAATGTCTTAAACCCTATTTTGTGAATTATTTTCCTTCGAGAAAGAATTATTTAATGCAAACGCCACTAGCCAAAATAAATTCAATTTATGCATATTTTTCATATATCTCGTATGTTAGTTTACCAATATCGAATTTAACCTTCGATTTTAGATCATTTGCTATAATTATTTAATATAAAATTTATTGAAAAAAATTCGATGTAGGTCAACTAATTTATTAGTTACAGGAAAAATGTTCGAAAACACAAAATCATTTTGGTTTTTAGTACTGTTTTAATGTTTACAGTCAATTAATATTAAGGATTAAAAGTTATTACTGTTTCTCTACAGTTAATATTTAATTGATTATTATAGTATTAAAAGTTATTGAGTATAAAATATTTTAGCTTCGATGCGAATTCGATTCGATTTTTTATGGTATAACTTTTTGAAAAATGTATGGATCAATACAATTTTTTCATGAGAAGTATTATATATTTTAATAATCCCTTTTTCATTCGACATACTTTATCTGAATCAGGATATTAATATCAAACTAGCAGATCATGTTGCTTTTGGAATAATCCACAAATTTTTTTTAAANTAGCAGATCATGTTGCTTTTGGAATAATCCACAAATTTTTTTTAAATTAACACTATCTAAAGATTTGCATCGAAGCGTTTTTTTTGATAGTGATTTTAATCACTGTCAGATATCATAATACTTGATCCAACTATGCCACGTCACCACTGTGCCGTGACCTCCCTGTGCTGGGTTTTTTTAAATTTATTAATTTATTTGTATATCTACTTAAAATACTTAATATATAAGAAAATAACAAATAAAAATCATATTTTCTACAATTTTTTTTTTATTATAGATTACTTAATTTGTGGATGTAATATTCCAGGTAACTTTGTGAATTTTACGAATTGTTTTATTCCATTGATTTAATTTACTTTGTGGAGAAAATAATTAATTTTTTCTTGTATTAATTGTTATTTCTTGCATAAGTAATAATCACAAGAATTTTTTTAGCTAATGTTTCAAAAATTATATACAATATTTTATTAAGTTATTTCAAACATATTATAATTAAAATATTTGTTTCATATGTTTAGTTAAAGAAGAAATGATTAAATTAATGACAAAAAAACTAGAAATTCCCTCTTCATCTACGGACCTAACCGTTGATGTCCTTACTACCCGGTCAATATATAGTTGGAGATGTAATTGATAACGCAATAAATTTTTTTATTATGAAAAGCAAAAAAAAAAACTCCATTTTATATGTTTCGACATACATCTATAATTGTGTACGTGAGAAATCGTTTTCACCTTTAATTGAATACCTACATAATTCAATCACTTCAAAAGAAACGCTCATTTTAGTTAATGTACACATTGCTACAGATCATTGGGTTTTGGGAGTGATTGATTTAAATAAAAAACAAATAACTATTTTAGATTCACAAATAAACATGCGTACAAGATCATTTATATATTTGCATTTTATAATGTGTGCATACCTTAATGTAAAAACATTTCTTGTTAAATCAAAGCTAAAATCAATTGAAAGTAATTGCCAGTTTATTCTTGCTAAAAATGCTATACAGCAAAAAAATTCATATGATTGTGGTCTTCATGTATGTTTACATGCTTTTCATTATATAACAGGTTTTGATTTATTTTGTCCAAATACGTCNAGGTTTTAATTTATTTTGTCCAAATACGTCAGATTTGGATAGACAATGGCTTTATTATTGTTATACAGAATATGAGAAGTATAAAGAAACCATCACTAAAAAAAGTGCTCCATCCGGAAAACAAAAATTGTTAAATGAAGATGATATTAAAAATATTATTGCTAAAACTTTGCGAGAGACAATACGTGTTGAGGATAACCATGTTATAGAAACACCGATAAAATATAATAATAAAACAAAAATAAATAAATTGTTGTTTTAAAATATTATATATTATTGTTTTTTGTTTGATCAGGGTTATATTCATCGTCTTGTTGTGTAACATTTTCTAGTATTATTTTAATCATTTTTTTAGTATTATAATAAATACGATCATTAAAATCGATAAACTAGTTATTTTATCTCCTAGATACCATAAATGATTTATCCTTTTTTTGTGCTAATTTAGCTACTCTATTGTAGTCAATTTTATAATTTTCAAATTTTCTTAAAAAAAGGGTATCATGTAACGTGACAAAAGGTATCTCTTCCTTTTGGTATATTTGTATATATATATATATGTATCCTAAATTAATTTGGTTGAGTCGAATGCGTGTTACGAAGGCATTATCATTCAAAATTTCATGATAAGGTGTTGTGATTTGTTTTTGCGCGTGCGAGATAGTCAGCTGTGTACTACTTCGGACCGGTTCAAGGAAGGCATTTATGTGTACACTCACCCCGTTCCTTTCCTATCTTGAACATCATTGGCACTACTTACCGCCAACATTGTCGCCTTATGATATATTTTGATTAAAATTGTTCTCAATGATTTCTGGCACGGAATAGTAAAATTTGTAGACTCCTACTCTAAAGGCTAGTCGGGTGTCGCCATCGAACTGCCGAGTCGAAACTCTTTATGTGTTAATTTTCGTCCGTAGCTGTAAATTTTGTTGTGTGCGCTGCAACTTATTTTGTGTTTTAAGTGTATTTTTTCGCGTGTCCGCTAATTTTGTAATAATGTAGATTTTTTATAATTTGGCGTCGTCTAGACCTCCCTCCACTTTTCTTTAGACCTTCGGGACTGGTATTGTACATATTTTTATAATGTTCTAAGCCAGATTTTTTTTTTAGTATGCCGTTCCATAAGAATGTGTGGCGAATTTTTGTATTAAATTTTTTTAGGTGTCCCTATTTTTTTTATTTAGGTCCATCAACATGGCAGGTGTGTTACAACCCAACCCACCTGTCATGTTATATATATATATATATTGTGATTTTATATAGGTTTTATAACACATCATATGGGATGATGCGTGTGTATATTATAGGTACAATTTAATGACGTAGTGCATTTTATTCTGAGGTTGGGTTATTAGCGGTAATACCGTGCTTAATAGCCGGTAGGTACCCGAAGACGTTCATCATATTCTCCAATGATAAAAGTATAGGTGTAAATCTGTTTTACTAATATCCGATTTTCTTTCTCTTGGCTTCTTTAATTTGTAGATGAGGTATTGTGCCTCGTGTTAGGTTAATTTTATTTTTAATAAAGTCCCCTTAATTTAACTATCATCTTATTTTATTTTTGCGTGTTCCATCTTCAACGAACTCGTGTATCTTTTTCTTTTCAAAAATCAACTCCCCCTACTTTAAAAGGTACGGGCAACGGTTGGGTAT